TTTCATTCCAAAATTTTGAGAATTTTTAGCATTACACAAAACAGTAAATGGCTAATATAATATTTATTGCAGTAATATCACCTAAAGCTGCGATCAATACCAATGAAATCACATTAACAAGCACGAAAGGAAGCTTTCAAACACTGAATTGCACAGAAATCAGTGAAACATCGGCAGCTATTCAATGGTTTCGTAATGGTTCAACAAAAATCCCAGGAGCAACAAATGATTCTCTCAAGGTGGAATTTATCTCCGCTCTGGACATTATATCTACATACAAATGCAAAAGAAAAGATCCCAACTTGAGGTCTGTGGTCTGTAAGATGAACTACACCTGTAGAGCTACTCTCTCAGTGAATGTTTCTCAAGCTCAAGCAACGGCTGAACTGACTGTCAACCTAAGTAAGAAAAAAAAACACGATATATGTTGGTTACAGTAAAGAAATCGCTTGATTTTGCTTGATGCTGCTTGCAAAAAAAAAAACAATGCACGCCTGTCAATCAAAGCGAGCGTTATCTGTCTAGGGGCGTATGACTCTGGCCATTTGCCCGAGAGAGCTTTTGTTAGTCATGTCAACTGTAACAACCAGTCTGTTCTCTAAAAATATCAGGCAAAGACATCATCATCATTGAAGATCAGCACGCAAGTCAACTCCTGCGATACTTTTAACTGAAGAAAGTATATGATTTACATCCCAAAAGAAATATTACATTTGGTTCTTACGTTATATCTAGATGTTCCAGAAAACCAGTCCTTTTCTGTTAATTCGAGTAAAAGATCAATAACGATAAGCTGGAAGCCTGCTGTGCAATTAGACGACGTGGGCATCATTATTGGGTACACAATCAAGTTGGATGGCAAAGAAACACAAGTGCGATCTAACCAGACGCGGCATACATTTACTGGACTCAAACCATACACTAACTACACACTTCAAATGAAAGCAACCAGTGTGGTTGGTGAGGGGCTGTGGAGCGACGCTAAAACTATAGCTACATTGATAGCAAGTAAGGCTTATTTTATTCTTTTTCATATCACAGAACATTTCACTATAGTATTGCAATAACATGCAGTTTCCTTCAGGTTCTTTCATCTGAGTGGCTCTTCATGCATCAATTCGGAAAAAAAGTTTATGTTTAAAGTAAGTGTTCACCATATTCTTTTAGAACCAGAAGCAAAACCAAGCGTATTTGCAACGGCAACRTCAWCAAAAAGCATTGTCATAACATGGCAGGTATGTTAGCATTGCCATAGGTATCAGTCTGCTATATTGTATCCTTTTTTTGTTTTSTTGTTGTTGTTTTGTTTTTTGTTTTTGTTTTTTGATTTTATCTTTCGCACGCTTCTCCCTTTTTTTACAATTGTTTGGTCGTTTGCTGAATAATACATGGTTTATCTGTCTTGTCAATGAGTTTATTTTTGTTCTTTTGAAAACCAAATTTCTCTCCAAATTCGTCACAATATTTTCTAGCTGCGTGAGACCAAAGTCAACGGACCTATGGCTGGTTTTAGAATTACATTCACGGATGCCCTAGGCAACACAAACACAAAACAAGTTCCAAACATSAGAAGAACCGTACTGACCAACTTGAAGAAGTGGACGACATACAATATAACTGTGTCAATTTGGAATTCCATATATTATGGTCCAGAAAGCAGCATTGCATCTRAAAGAACATATGAGGATGGTAAATAGAAGTAGACGAATAAATAAAGATAGATGTTTTCTTATCACAATTACATTTCTTAATATAAATATCGAAAGTAGAATATAATGATATCATGGGTTGCTAAACTGAGATTCTGATACCACTCCAGAGGCACAAATAGTTTTGAAACTCAAATAAACCTGACTACCTTGCMACCTTCGATACCTGAGTCCCTTGACAGCATTAAAATATTCTACACTGCAAAGAAGGTTGATATACGTCCTGTTCTCCCTTTTTTTTGTTGTCCAAGTCCAGGTCTCTGCGCCGTAGAGAAGACTGCTCGACTAGATACGTGAATACGGAAGCCTTTTTTAATTCCTTGGCAAGTTTGAGTGACAGGACTTTAGAATCTTTTTACAGGCTGCCCGGATAGWGATTTTTTACCTTTAAAAAATCCTTTTCAGAGCCGATAACGATGACAATACACATAAATCATAGACATATTTCCTTTTTCTAGCCCCTGATTGTCCTCCAAAACTGAAATCAGCTGAGCCCTTGTCTTCCACAAGTATCCGAGTGACATGGGACCCACTGCCAAATACCAACTGCAGGAATGGAGTTCTGAGACTTTACAAAGTCTTGTATAGGAGACATGGTGTCCGTAATGCACAAATAGACTATATTGATCCTGATGTCCATTCAAAGGTGATAAGTAATCTTCAGAAGTATACAATGTACGTGTTCTCAGTAGTCGCATATACTACTATTAATCAGGGCAGTGAGCCAAGTAACGCAATAAGCAGAAGGACAAAACAAGATGGTATGTTGGCACGACATTACCTCTTATAGGTCACATTACATTATTACATTAT